TCAGAAATTAAATAAATCGTTTTAATACCGTAAGCTGTGTGAAAACTAACTCCTGAAAGCTTTAGCAATTGAAATAAAATACTTAGTAAACAAATCATCAATGGACCCGATCAGCAGTAGATCAGTCTTACTAGCTCTCTGTAGAGGTTGCTTCAAATGCGAAAACTACTCTTGAGGTTAATACTTCTAATCTGATGTAACCAAAACTAGTAAAATATCGTCACTATTGTGTTACAAGTAAATCTATACTCTCTACATACTACTGAGAGAACGTTAGAGCAAATAGTTTTATCTTTAGAACTAGTAAAGTATGCTCCATAGTTCCATTAAAGTACGTTCGGTATCTAGTCTCCAGTTGATCAGGATGAACGAAATTAGGATTATCTACTTAGAGATCTGGTTATTACATCATCTGCAATTATCACGTTTAAGAGCTATGAAAGCAAACATCGCTCCTCCCATGCAAGCCTTCATGAACACTCCACAATCTCAAGAACATATAAAACAATTTACGTTAACATCATATTTCCGTTAACTGTTCCACGCCTCCGCTCATGTTTATATACTTCAAACCATAGTTTGCTTGACAGCGTACTGACAATTTATCACTCCATGAAAATCTTTTTGAGTAATTTACGTTGGACTGTCAGCATATCCTTAAAGGGCGAATCACTTTTTTGCGCTATTTGGCATTTTTCGCTTTTATTTCAACGTAAACGTCGCCGCTGCTCGTTATTTATGGCGTCAATGACTTGGCGACTGTCAAATTAAACATGTCAATCTGCGGCTGACACTTGTAAAACGATGGCGAGCGTTGATAAAACGCGCGTGGGAGGGGGTAAAGAATGTAAAGGAGACGCTACTTCAACCGATTGGGCGAGAGTAAATAATTGACAGAAGCATTGCCAAAATAACAAGACAATGTGCGTCGTCAGATCTGACGACGACCGACTGCTGGTCGCCGACGGACACACAAGTGCAATGAACGTGCTGCGCTAGACGGTTGAGTGAGTCGCTGCACCGCAAGAACCTCGCTAGCTTGCTGAGCGCATAGCGCAGGAGTGCGTCGACGACCAGCAAAGCAATGACAACCGTGACGACGTCGGTGAGGTGACCGCACAATGACGTTCATGCTTGGCGACGACGTACAGTACATTAATACCTATATAAGTGACATAGTATGTGTTTACGCACGTGTGTATGGATGTGTACGCTGGCGGAATTCGCAGTCGCTGACGCTGCTTATGAGCTGTGCGACCGCAAACGCGCGTCCCACTGACAATTACACTAATTTGACAGCTGTGACCGAGAGTCTGGCATGAGACATAATAACATGAAAGCTGTCCCAAGAAACAACAAAACACAATGCAATAACAACAACAATAATAATGCGAAAAGACAAAAGCGAAAAGCAAGAAAAAGCAGATTATTTATTTATTTTAGGAAAAATGTAGGAAAATCTATGTATAAGGCAATCTGTGTAAAAATAATAAGACACAGAAAGGCTTAAGTCAAATGCAAAGAAAATATGTGACGAAAGTGAAAGCGAAAGGCATAAAGAAATAAATTTGTTGTTTCTAAAAGTCAGTCTGTCAGTTAAAATGCTACAAATAAATAGGCGCTTATTTATACAGGCAATTTGTGGCACTAAAAATATACTTTGAGATTATGAGGCACATATTTTTTAGGTTATGTAGGCTGTAGCCGGTTCGTTCGTATGCTCTTGTGTGTTTTTCCATCACTGAATTTGCCGTTTTTGCACTTTTGCTTACAAATTGTATACACGCTTTAGTATCCTGCCATGCCACACCCCATTCATGGGTTTCCCGTTATGACATTAATACACTTAAATTCAATTTATTTGCTGTGCTGCCGCAAATTGTGTCTAAATTAAAATCCACTTACTTAAATCAAAAAGTCAACGCTGTCCATCAAGCGAAAGACTTCACAAGAAACTTGTACTCTTCTTGAACTTTTCTTGCTGTAAAAAATGTGTTTGCTGTTGTTGTGCATTGTACTGGACAACAACGGGTTAAATGTTAGCAACAACTTTGACTTCGAGCCGTCGCACAGCACAATTGTTTAATTCATTTTGAGGAGTTTGAGTTTGTAGTTCATGAAATGAAAGCATTCTTCAATCTTTATTGAAAGCCGACTCACATTGTGTCTTGAGGGGGAAAATTGTGGATGATTATGAGAACAATGCAATGGTTCAGATTGTACTRTAAGTAAATGGAATGTCACGTCTTTTAGCTCAAGTTTTTTAAGAAAATATAATAATTAAAAGTGGAATAATTTTTCATTTAATAATAATTAATTTTGTTAGGAATACAAAATGTGAAATTGAATTTGAACCTAAAACCTCTTTAGCCTGAATGCAATCATAATTCGAGAGGAACTTCTTAAGCAGTTGTACTCATAATTAACCCCCAAAACCATTCCACTGTCAGGATCCGAAATAGTGTTTAATCTAATAGTAAGGAGCCGGCACTCAATTGTCATTTCGCGCTCTAACTTATGGACCACCCGTGAGCTTGCACATCCCGTGTGCTTCGAGATCCGTTTGGTCAAAAAGCAAAAAATTGTGCGGCTATGAGTCCTTTCTGGTCCAAAATGGTACGTAAGATATCCTCCGAGCTACTTGCTCTTAGCAAGGTTCATCTAGCAGTCACGATAACCGTGCTGATGGGCTTACATGCGAGAGTCTACATTTTTTTACTTTTGCCGAACGTAAATTGCCAAGTACGAAGAGGCGATGTGAAATCAGTTAGGCAGGTTCTTCTCAACTGTTTACGTTTTGCCAGACTGATGTTGCAACATCTCGGTAGAAACGCTTTCGGCTAGCTTGGTTGTTAATATTGATTTGTTGTAGTCTCAAAGTGCCTCGTCCATCTATTAACATCTGTTGATCTACATATATAAGGATTTTTCGGAAACTCAAACGAACAGCCTTTACAACTGTACAAGCGGAATTATGCCTCCCCTCTGGAGAGTCTTAGCAGTCTTTTAACCTAACCGAACATACCAGAGCGCAACTCCACATGTTCCTTTACAACACTCAAGAAATCTGAAGGAAAAGTTTCGCGACTTATGCGCTTAGCAGACTTGTGGGGTAACTGGGGTGATTACGAAAATGAGTTGAAAAAGTTTCTATTATATAAAACTGTTTCTGTTATTTTGTCAAATATTGGTAGTTTGAGACCTACTACTTTGTGTGTGTTGCAGACACACACAATTCTTCATGTTAGGAAACTTTACTATTATTTTCAGTTTTAGCAACCCAAATTTAGCAAGGAACAGCCTCTAACACCACAGTCGCAAAATTACTGTATACTAATGATATTTCTCCAGAGCTTTTTGTTTTTCCTGGCAATCCAAAGATAAATTTCGCTCGATAAAAAGTGTTTCTATAATGCGAAACCCGGTTTAGTACTTTTTAGTTACGCAAAAATTCATCTTAAGATTACATATAGATTAACTTTTTAGGACTTACTTGTCTGATTAAATATCAAAAAAACTATAATTCCATCGATACTCGAAGAGTTAAGATTGAGATTTCTTTTCGATCTATTGGGATCCATTCGATGTCATGCGATAAAATGAGACCCTCTATAATTTCTATGCTCTCTTCGTTAAGGTGTTCAGAAAAACATTTTTCATGGCAAAAATACGTTCAAATCTATAAATTTCTCAGACTTTGATAATTTTTTTTTTTTTTTTTTTTTGGAGTCCATAAATCTAAAATACCTTTTATTACAAAAATATTAAAATTTTATGAAAAACATCTTATAAATAGTTGTAAGGGAAAAAAATCTTAGTTCTCAAGACTTAGCAAGTTATATCTCGTAGACCTATGTAAAATTTCATTTAGATCTGTCAAGTAGTTCACGAAAAATCCTGACAACCGTGTTTGAAAACAGTTTCGAGAAAAACGCGTTTAAAGTTGTTGACTATAAAGCTGACCTTGAGTGCGCAACTTTGCAGGGATGTATTTCCAAAACTATTACTTGGATGAATACTCAATAGAGGTTATTAACATAACATAATAAAAAAATCGAGTTTTTACAGAGGTGTAACCGGTCCAACCCCTTAAAGCAGCCTTCTCAAGCATTGCATAAACTCTGTGCGCCTCAAATCTGACACGTGATGCAATAGTGAGCAGCTTTGAAGTTTTATGATACTTGATGAGTAGACTGAATCTGATTTTAATAAATAACATTAAATATAGCAGAATGAAGTCAACTTTTAGTGCAGCGCACACATTATCTGCTTTATAATTAATTTCCATCTTAGAAGTTCTAGAGCATTCTAGTTTTTACATAATTGTTAGATTACTATTAATATGACAAATAGCATTAAGAATAATAAAAGAAATGCAAACTAATCCGGCACTTAACCAATTTCAACACCGTCCTTGAGCACGTGACATATTGGTTAGTAGCAAGAAACAAAAGCACTTCACGTAAATACAAAAGGAAAATGAGATTTTATTCGCGAAACAAAAGCAACGGTAAATTACGCACATTGACACCTTTTGTTCAAGGACTTGAGCAGTGACAAAATCTGGCAACCGTAAGAAATTCAAAATTGCACATATGAAAGGAAAATTGTTGAATAAACAGATTTGCAATTGTGATAATTCGGTAAATTTTCCACGTAAAAATGCGCATATAAAGGGGACATAAGAATATGCAAAAATATTTATTTCGAGAATAACAACAAGCGCACGCTGAACGCGAACGGATCTCATCATTTACCTATTTCAAGGTAAAAAATATATCACGAATACACATTTGTACAAAGGCACCCGCTTAATGAGCTACTTAAGGATAGTTGCAGAAAGGATAACTCAAATTTTACAAGCCTGGATTTTCCCACGCGACGACGCACCTATGGAATTCGCATATTCGGCTAGACAGGTAGATAGCAGACAGTGGCGATAGGTGGGCGCGCCAAGGGCACGATCATAGTAACGAAGTCCACGGCGAGACAGTTTTAGGCAGCTACCTGTGCAGGCGCACACCTTTGGCTATAAAAGGTGCACGCCGTGAGGCAGAGAGCAGCATTCGCTAGAATATTGTTGCAATCTAAACAACACGACCAGAGCAAAAAAAGCGAGAGTAATAGTTCTAAATTTTAATAAGAAATTTATTTACCAAACGAACGTGAGAAACAACAACTACGGAAATGGCTACGCAACAAAACGCCAGTTTCTTCTCAATACCCGTTTTCCATTCGTCATCTGAGTTTCGCGTAAACACAGCATACTTCTCCAAGGAGGATCTATCGCTCTTCGTCGAGAACTTGGAGACCATAGAAAATCTGAAACGCAAAGAGCGCCAACGCTTCGAGGAGCAAATACGTGAGACGCGCACAATACTGGAGAACGCACTGCAAATCGCCACACAGCCAAGCAATGTGGGCTGCATGCCAAGTCCCACATCATCAGTGAATGAAGAATTGCGTTCTTTATGCATTGCGAGAGAAACGCCGCGATGTAACCGCAAACTGCAACCAGAATCGCCAATCGAACGCCAAGAACTGCAGCCAAAACGTCCAATCTCAATGCGCCGATCCTCGGACGAGGAAGAGACTTACTTCAGCGATGCCAATGCAAGCCCGGATCGCACACCAGTTAGTACGGCGAAAAAACCACGCTTACTGTTTGCCCCATCACCGAGAGCACTAAAAGATAACAATTCCGGTTCGGATTCTGAAGAGTCTGGCATATATCCACTAGCTGACACGCCACAACAAAAACCATTCCGTTCACGCACGAACGCATTGGCCGAGAAGCCGAAAATATCGACCGGCTCACGCATACTTGCTTTACTGCTGCGGCGCGAGATCTTAAAGAATCAACAAAAAGATCAACCTGAGGAAATAGTACGCATCAAAAAAGCTGCCTCCAATCTCAATGTCAGCAAGGAGCATGAAGAGCACGATTTCCACGAGTTCATCAAGCAGAAATACAAGCGTTTCGCCTTACGTTATATACGCAAAATGAAGAAGCACGTCGTGGTCGAGGAAGAACCGGAAAAGCCCAGCGACTTGGAGATGTTGGACAAAGCGCTGCGCTACATGACATTGTAAGACAAACTAGACATACACGTATGCAGTAGCAAACGTGTACATACGAAAGATTCCACGGCAATCTCCAAGACATGACGCACTTTTCGTATGATAAAGAAGACTAATGGACAAATGGACGAAAAGAGCAAAACGGACAAGGACAACAAGGCGAAATTATTATTAGAAACAATGATGGTTATGGAAATTATATTTATTACTAATTTGTATTTATGTAGATGTATAAGTATTGTTATAAAAAAATTAAGCACAAAAACACAAACATTTGCTTTTAATTGAATTGATTACGACTTTTTATATAGGGTTGGGTGGTTTGCTGACGGGGGTATTGAAGAATTTGAATTTTTCTGCATTCTAGTTAGCAACAATTATTACACTTTTTAAGCTAAATCTTGGATGGCGAAGGTCGAAAGTCTCCTCACTAGAACCTATAAAGTTCAACAAATATAAGTATTAGTCGAATTTTCGAGAAATTCAACAATCAATACTTGATTCACTTGAGGGGTTAAGTAAGTTTCGAAATTTCCACTAAATCTTTAAGTATGTTTTAATACCTACAATAGTTTTCCTAAAGTGTCAATCAATAGCAATAAAAGTGTAGTGAATAGGACCTTTACGAAGCCAACAGCCTAGACTGGTCGGCTACTTCAATGTTTTATCGGATTTTTCTCGAAACACTGTGTTCAAGGTCGGTCCGCTACTTTAATGTTTGATCGGGCTTTTCTCGAAACATCGTTTTCAAATTTGAAGCGATCTTATAGAAATTTTTCACAGTTGGATGATCTCGTGATTGATCGAAGGCCTTTTTCGATTTCAACTAATTTTCAAGGAAATTTGGGGTAAAAAATAATAAATTATAGCTATTCTTTTGCAACTTTGCCAAATATTAATTTTTTCAAATCCTTCGTTTAGTCACGGCTTATACTCAAAAAATTAAAAAAACACAGAAAATTATTAAAATTTTTCTCTTTGATATTCTCAGAAGTCGTAATAAATTAATTAATTTATTATATGAAAAAATAATTCGTGCAAGCAGGCATTTTTTCGATCGTCAAAAGCCATGTAAATATAATACATGGTATCATACGGTCCTAGTAAAAGACTGCACACATATGCAATTACAGTGTTTCAGAAAGAAATCAAGATCACGCAAAAATATTCTTCGGAAAGATGGTTTGATGATACAAAATTGATATCTTATCCTGCGTCGTTTTGGAGACAAGGCGACTTCTAAAATTAATGATGTAGAGATCATGAATTGAATAGCACTTGGAAAACAACGAGACTTTTAAAACTTCGCCGTTTTTATTGTGTTGATATGTATACATGCCCCTAAAATATGAACAAAAAAAATTTGCCGTATGCATTGCTTACTTTGTCTATAGCAAGAGCTAAGATTGGGCGTGCTTTTATGAGGTCACACTTCGCTGCTTGTGCGTGAATTTTTGTCCAAAATCAATACTGTAACGATGCCCCAGGCCTCATATTCCTCAGACAAGGCTCCGCGTGACATTTCTATATCTTCAAAAACAAAAACAAAAAAACCTGAAAGGGCCGTCGTTTTAAGGCGTAGATGAAAATCGCTGACAGAACTAAAGAGTATTCCAAGAATTGACTTTGAGAATTGTTTCCACGATTGGAAGAAGCGCTAGCATATACTCGTATGTACCTGTAGTAAGAGCATAATATCGAATGGGAATTTTTTTAATGTAAACTTTCTAACAAAGTGGAAATAGTAGCTTACAATACTTTTTACATGCGCAAACAGCACAAAGTCATTTTAAACTCCACTAGCAAGCGCTTCAACGCCAAAAAATTTAGCTATTTTTAATTAACAGCAACCATAATAAAGCGACAGGTGGTTTACACCGACCTGTGGAGCCTATGGAGCAACACTAATGAAGTAATCTTAATTAAAAGTGAATTCATTAATGAGATACAAAATTTGACATGCAAAAAGCAAAGGCGTCATTTTACAAGCATTCTTTGGAAAGAGAAGGGTGTGCATGGAGACACAAACTGATGACTACATACTTAGTTTAGTAGCATATAATTAATGATGTGCGTCGAATGCGGTGTTGTGAAATTTTTGCTGCCAAAATCTTACTGTAAATTTTATAAAAAGAATTTAATTAACTAAAGAGGTTATAAAAATAAAACTGCTCTAAGTTGTATTATGTATTGTTTTTTAAGTTGAAATTAAACTAGTATATATTTGTTTATATGTACATTTTGTTGACCATTTATTTCTTTACTTTATTGGAAAAAATGGAGAAAAAGTAGCAAAAAGTAAAAAAAATATATACGTACGTCGCCTATACCCTTAGATTTGACAACCTTAGTGTTGCAATCTGGCGTCTCACAACTTTATCGTAAAGTTTGACATTTTTTATGATATACATACATACTCAGTGCCTTTGGGCATATGAGCATTTTTGTGTAGTTTACAGTAACTTAAACTATTCATCTTGGCCAAAAAATGGCATTAAATCGTGAAAATTTGAGCGCTCAAAGCGTTGCTTTAATGAGTGATCCACCATATAGTTAAGACTTCCTGACTTGACAAAGAATAAGTTTTTCTTATTCCTGTACGTAAGAATTCAACCAAGGTTTCAACGTTTTCTGACACCAGCAGAGGCGGATAATACGTTTAGAATGCATGTTTTGGATACACTTCAATCAAAGTGACAAAAGTGTTTTGAGAATTGGGCAATACAGGAGAGTTGTCTTTTATATTTCGGGATTCGAAAAGAAATCCACTCCGCATTCCAGATCTATAAACTATCATTATGAGGAATATTTTGAAAAACAGTAAACCGATTTTCGACAACTAAAATTTGGGTTTGTTTTCGAATTCCGAAATATATATATATATTTATATAAGTGTGCTCAAAAAGGATGGTTTTATGAAAAGCAGTTCAGTTTTTGATTATCTTATAGACTATAACCAATCTGCACTGAATGTTTAAACCAGTTTTTTTTTTCTTTTTCAAATAGCCAATAGTGTACTTCACACCCATACACATAAACAGACATTATACATCAAAATCACCCTCTTCCACGAGGCACTAAAGTGTTTGAAAACACACTAATACAAGCATACAAATCAAACAGTAAAAATACATTCACCCAAAGTCAAAAAAGGAAGCTGTGGTTGCCACATGAAAGCACACTTTAAAACAACAATGAACATACGATCCGTTATCTGTTCATACAATGCCATATAACATAGATTTATATACATCGATTCATCTGTACGTGTGAGCAAATCTACTCTCTCTGTGCCTCTAAAAAGCAAAATCAACACACCATCAAGTTTTATCACATATCTGCATTTGTTAGAGTTCATGCTGCTGAAGTGCCACTAAGTGTCGGGATATATTGTGGATTTAGCAAAGATGTATGTAAATCTCGTATGTAATACATACATATGTATATATGCAATCCAGCTTTAACAACTGCATGCGAGCGTTGCTTGCTGAGCTTCGGTGACGGGCATTTGTTTACATAGGCAATTATATTAGCGGAGAATCGCTTCAGTCACGGCTGTTGGGAACTTAAAATGAGTTTCAGGTGTCAACATTGATTCATTATAAATTGAAGCTGCAAATTGAATTACGCTTAATATATATATGTATATATATACTTAAAAGTAATGTAAAGTAGTTGCTTTGAAGAGCAAACTTTCAAGGACGGCTTGCATTTTTTATATGAATTGGTCACAATGCTTTAAGAAAAAAATGTATAATGCAGACACACGGCTCTCTTTAATATATTTACGGGTAATTATCTAAGACATACAATTTTTTTTTAATAATTTAGACTTTTTAAGCCATTCTCAAGGTTTTATTTCTTTAGAAAGACATAATTTCGTCAAAAATCAAAATTTTGATTTTCCTGCGATCATAACTGGTATTCATCTATGGTTACCATAAATGTTCTGGACTTTTGATTTCAGAAATTGTTTCTTACCATCAGATACTTGTTTTCGATGGTCCTATTGTAGTAGCAGAATTCTGCCGAGTTGACAGTCCTTAGTCGGATAAAAATCCGGATCCGTTAAGGCTACGTAGACCCGACTGTCATGGGAGCGATTTGGTGGTCCTCTTGGAGATCGGCTGAAGTCTTTATATACTGAGACACTGAGTATGTTAGGTTAAGGAAGGGTTCCAATAGAATTTATATATGTGACCTGGTCTATGAAAAGGGAGCTAACGTGCGAAAACTAGTTTTCTGGGAAACAACTGTTAAAAAAACATCTCATCTTCCATCCAAATCAACTAAAAAGTGAAAATTGACTTTTTGACACCTAAGCCCCCTTTCCGTAGACCAGGTCACATATATGTAATTAATGCGTCTGTTCGTCTACGTCTACATACACGAACTAGGTTCTGAAATTTCCAAGAAGCTGCTCAGTTGTCGAAACTATCGATGTCGGACTACTTTAGCATAAATTAAAGTGCTTATGTGGAAAGTTTTTCAATCTTGCGAGATTTCTTCAACAAATTAGGCATGAACTATTATCAAATTCAAAGGCATAAGCTGCAAAAAAATGTTCAGATCTGTTCATTATATCATAAGGCTGTCATACAAATCGACCGATCAGAGTAATCAGAGCCGTTCCTACGACTGTTGGGTCTAAGTAACCGGAACGGACCTGGATTTTTATCCAGCCAAGGACTGCCATTCCTCAAAATTGCTTAAATAAAAAAAAAATAAATAAATAAAATAAAAAATATATGAAATAAAAAACAACAACAGCAATTGTATGGAATCGTTTGTACTTGTGCAGGCATAGTTCAACAAAAAAGTTTCAAAAAAACGTATTTTCCCAACTTGTAAGTGAACATAACCTCTCAATGCAAATAACAGCTCATATTTTATAGCAACATGTGTAATTTATAGCAACTTCGCAACACTAAGCCTATCAGCTCTGAAGTAGTTAGCTTTACTAAGCTTTTTGTGGGAATCTGTTTTAAAAGCTTTTGCTCCACATATACTTTATTCCCTTTTATGCTGACATTTAGCGCACTTTTGCTTTCATTTATTGACACTCAAGCTTTTGTTACAAGTCCTGCGCGCGCGTTTACTCCCGCTCGGCATACGCTCTCACGCAACACAAAAGCTTTCGCACTCTCCTGTGTAGCATTCACATACACACTTTACACAAACGGACGACTGTTGCTATCGCGCTATTGATT